AGGATATACAGGATGTCTCATTAAAAAAAATGTTTCACATCAATAACTATTGATACAACATTTGAAGAAATAAGTTTTTTCACAAACGTGAAAAGTAATTCGGAAATGTTTTTATAGAAAGAAGAATTTTTCGACAGGAAAAAAGTTACAGTAACTTTTCCAAAATGCACTTTTTGGAAAAACATGCTGTAACTCAGAAACCATGATAGTTATCGATATGAGGTTTTCACCATTGTGTTTGTAATAAAATTCGACCCCCAGACACATACATCACTTTTCATCCAACTAGTTTGAAAACAGGAGTTTCCCTTTGAAGGTGTCCAATTTGGCCCACACTGTACAAAAAATAAATATTTCGAAATAAAATTTCGCAACATTTGTCTCACCCAAATACCTACAGAGTAGCTTCTGGTGAATGCCTACCGGAAGACAACTACTTCACCGTCTTATACCACGCTGGATATTGAATTATATCCGACAGATACCTCACAGAGGTTAGTCTCACAGATGTTCCTCATTCATCCAGCAGCATACGCTACAAGCATTTGATATCAAGTAAACTTCCTCACATTGCACCACAACATCCGATTAGAACCAATGAACACGTGTTGCGTTTTTGTAAAACAATTTAGTGAAAATCTCACAATAAAGTGTTTTTGGAATACGTTTGAAAACTTTAGTTTTCTCAAATGAATCCATATGAATACTTAGTGCCCCACCTCTAAATCAATTGGAAATTTTATCCTTATATATGTTTGCACAAATACATGAACCAATAAGGTAGAGTCTGCTGATCATTGTATTGTTTCTTGTACTGTAGGAAATGACTATTGCTCACTCGGTGACAAATAGTTCAAGTATAATGTCAAACGAATTGATTTTTTGGCACTCTTTCAGTCTACTGATGTAAATCATTATCTCCTTCATCTGATAGACGCCCCCAATAAACTATTTAACCATCATGCTCCAATATGTGTTATCTAGAAACAAACCTCCTGGGATACAACTACTATTCGGCAGAAATTATCAATACGAGATACATTCCTTGTAAATTTTTCGAAAAGTGAAGTCCTAGATAAGCTATAAAGAAACTCTGAAAGTCCCCGACTTGAATTTCCGGAATTTGACATTTGATAACGGTCATCTTTTCGAGGCTACATCTGTCAAATGTCTGTCATTTATTCAGTTTGTTTTGCCAGATAACCATGGCCGGATATAGCATTCAACAACACGTGTTGTTTTATCAAAACGCGTGTTCGTGCAACGTACAGCGCACTTCGACCATTTCACAGTCGCCATTATGGCGAATTTTGCGTCGTGACTTGGGCCTGACCCAGGAACTGAAAGTGAACGACCGTAGACAACGACGTGTGTTCGCTGAATGAACTCTAAAGCAGTTGGCAACCGACCCTAATTTTCATCGAAAAATCATCTTTAGCGATGAAGGCTATTTCTGGTTGAATGGATACATGATCAAATGAACTTGTCGTTTTTGGGACGATACCAGCCGTATTTTCCTCGTTTTTTTTTCATAATAAATATTTCATCAAGTTTTTAAATGTGTTCTTTCATTATTTGGATGAATGAGGTTTGTGTGGAACATCAAAAAATTCTCTCGTGATAAGCAAAGCGAGGAGTGAGTTGCGATAATAGCATCTTCAGACGTGTCTAAACTCTGGAGTTAACGTTACGAATGGGAAGAGAATTATGAATCGAAGTGAATAACAGGTAAACGCGAACACTATAGATGGCAGCTTTGAAACACATCTCCAATAAGCTTGCTAAAATCTACTGAATGATTTATGAAGAAAGTGAAATATATTCCACTTCAATAGATTTCCAAACCAATACCCAGAGAGTACTGACATGTCATAAGTCCCTTGGGGTTTTTTAAAGTTCTTTCAGAAAACTTGTTGAATATTTTTAAATGTGTTCTTTCATTATTTGGATGAATGAGGTTTGGGTGGAACAGCAAAAAATTCTCTCGTGATAAGCAAAGCGAGAAGTGAGTTGCGATAATAGCATCTTCAGACGTGTCTAAACTCTGGAGTTTACGTTACGAATGGAAAGAGAATTATGAATCGAAGTGAATAACAGGTAAACACTATAGATGGCGGTTTTGAAACACATCTCCAATAAGCTTGCTAAAATCTACTGAATGATTTATGAAAAAAGTGAAATATATTCCACTTCAGTAGATTTCCTAACCAACACCCAGAGAGTACTGACTGTTTCATAAGTCTCTGGGGGTTTTTTGAAGTTCTTTCGGAAACTGTACCATGGGCTCCGCCGAAGATATTTTTCAAAATAACTCATTTCATTGTTCAATAATGCTTACAGCGATTCCCTTAAGCATAACTAGAAATTTGCAGTATGGGTAACGAGATCGATGAAACAATTTTTCTCTCTCCTAAGACCCTGGAATGAATTAATACTTCTATAACTCACCCAGTTTACTTTAAACCAATGCAACGGTACCTTTGATCACCTGGTACAACTTGATATTTGAAAAACTTGGTATAGCAGGAATGCTTTACTTTCACTCTAACTACGGACACAAATTTTATTCCTTCAATAACACAACATCCTTATCACTCTACAATTTTTGGCAAAAAACCTCAATAAAAGAAATTACAATTGACACCTCTCAGAAAAAGTTCATAATTTCATGTTCAATCTATTCCTGCGAGTTGATCAAATCGAGACGAGAAGTATATCACAGATATTCGGGGTACATGAAATTGTCCTAGATTTTCATTTTCTGATACTAGACAATTTCCAGATCGTAACAAAGTTTAACCACCATACAACTAGATGAGACAGACGAGTGAGAAATTGAGGATTCTCATGGACTTTCTAGAGAAAAAGCAATTGCCCATTTCTATAATTTCAATATCGCAGGGGAGAGTTCGCATCTTTTTAAATTGTTTATTTTGTTCACGCCCATTTTCGAATCGATGTAAAAGTGTTATTGAGGTTATTAACCACCCTCCCCAACGCATCAAAACTACGCTTTTCAACCTGTATTCAATTGTTATGTCACTGTAATAGTGCGTTTTATGGTTGGAATAGTTGAACACCAGTAGAGTATTGTTTCAGGCACCTATTCATTATTTTAATATTTGTTTATATTTTGTTTACTGCTCAATTCAATTGCCTTTGCATTGAAATAATTTTTATTTTTTTGCATTTACATTTTTTATTGTGATACCATGTTTTTATCTGAAATCTCGAATTTTCATTTTCCCTTGGACTAAAAAAAAAGACATCTGGACGACTGATTTTTCAAATATTACATAGTCAAATATTACCTTATCAACGGTGTGAGTATTGTTTAAACATTTTTTTCCCTTTAACCAGCTGTCGCCCCTCTACGAATGACAACTCTCAAAAGTCGAAACTTGTGCGAACTAAGGACTACCGAGGTCTCACCTTGAAATGTGATTTCTAACACAGAGGACGATAGAAAGTGAAAATCGATCTTCCGGCCTTGAGGCTCGAAACACCGGTTCACACAGCGGTCGATTGAGTGAGTGGAGCAAACCACCCAAGTCAACCCGAACGGCTACCGTCATATGTAACATGAGTGGTNTTCAAGTGAATTAGCACATTTGATTCCACCGAGTGCGGTACATATTAGAATTACGGACCGGACTATATCTGCTCATCGTTTTGAGATTCAAATGAGTACATCCCGAACTTCACTATTTGAGAACTCTTTCATTTGGAGAACTGCGTTTATGTGGAATCAACTTGAGAACGTTTTTCTGAATAAATTCAGCGAGAATCGCTGCGTTCGCACAAGCACCGCTCTTGTAGCGCCTTTAGTATTTTCCTTGTCCTCAAAAAAATGTTTTTTCAGTATATTTCCTATTCCAATGAGTATTTTCTTAATTTTGTCATACACGTTGAAGTTATGAAGATAATTTCAATGGGTTTCTCCTTTAAGACATGGATATTTCATTAATTTCTCCAGAATCTCTATTTGTGAACGGAGAAGCGATATATAGAATCACGAAACAAATGCATCCGATATCTATCTATATCTAAAGGAAAATCCGAAGCGTAAATAAGTTCATCATGGTTCGTTATTATCCAGCAATCTTTCGAAAAGGTCTTTTCATGAATAGTGGTTGACTATATATTACTTATCAAATTTTTCTGTTTAGTTTAACACCGCGTATTACAGATGTAATCAATAGCCGAATGGATCATATGAACTTCAGTTTTTGTCGAACACAGTAAATAAAAATCCATATTTTGCCCAGGTATTTTCCTTCAGTACCAACTTCTTCAACAAAAACGACATATAGAACAGCGAAAGATTGTTATTGCGCTCTCTTTATTTATATTTCGTAGATTCATTATGTAGTCATTCAGCAGGTTTGCGGAACTTCTTGTTAAAAATATTTTCACACATTGAATAACTTCCCAAATTTCAATGAGAACCTTTTGTTTCCCCTTCATTCAGCTCCCGCGGTGCCTAAAAACTTTTTAAGCGTAGAAGTGTAGAAGAGAAAATATGAAGAGGAGTTCGTCCCTGATCTCCTTAGGGCTGATACAGTTATCTGAGTGTAGTGACAAATTTGTGATTTTACTTTGAATATAATTGGAATCAGTAGTAAATCAAGTCAAGTTCGTTAACTAATAACGTTAGTCATTTAGTGATTGGTGAGTTTAGATCCCACTGCTACTAATTTATTGATCTGAGTCAACTAATTATTTGGAGTCGGCTAACCTGAAAGTATTTCTTTCATCGCCGGTGATAAGCAAACAGCAGGACCGCACTCAGTATTCCGGATATGAAATTATTAGCATACTCAATCATATAAACAATTGATGAAATCAGATTTGGTCAAGATTGAAATTAACTGCAACAAATTTGATAATAATCATAAATATTTTTGTCAAGATACATTTTTACATGTGATTTGTTATATTTTTCCATCACAATTTTTGTTTGTATTCCAATAATTAAAATCTTAACTGATATTACTTACTGATATTTGATGAAGTTAGTCCATAATGCCAGCATTCTTTTCATCGTCAGCTGATCAGATTGAGAGTAATCTTCAGGTTCTCCTGCAAATCCCTCTACTCCTCCAAAAAGATATTTCAATTCAGCGGTATGTGCAACTGGATCTGAACCTGAGGAAAATATGAAAAATTATCGACATATCGTCAATTTGTCTTTGGATAGTACGAAAAGAAGATGTTATGAACAGCGAAAATAATGATTTAGATGGTTTTTATAAACACATATCTTGGAAGTTTTGACTTTTGAACAATGGGGTGCTGAAATTTTATGAAAAAGTTTCTTTTCTATGGTTAATTTTATATGATCCCACACCAAATTGATAGACATGATATAAAATTTCAGAGTGTCAAGTGATGTGTCAAACCATCAATCACTTTTACATATTCCGTTGTCAAAAAATACAACTGATGATGATGAAAACTTAGACGAATTCCATGACAGCCACGACATATGCGCAACTAGTGGACAATGTAAAGTGTATGTGAAAGAATTAGACCAAAATTCAGTCTGTGAAGAACAATTATTTAGAGGTTACAGAAAGATTCCAATTAACTGTCAAAGCTCTTCATTGTTCATTCATAATTACAACGTACATGAAAGCAAAACTTACGGCTCTTAACATATTTATGTATAACTTTATTGTGATATTTTCACGAGACTACAAACTGCCCTTGAAAAAATGTGAAAACAAACACTTCTCAATAACTCTTGGAATTGAAGGCATTCCCTTTATTGAAATATCAAGATTTTCAAAACATTCGTGTGGTTTTCACCCAGTATTGATTCCGTACGAATGTTGTAACAATGTCTCAGAGAAATCTAGCCTTTCTTAATTGAAACCGCTGACAGTAAGCGACCTGAACGTCGATGATTCATTTATTACAAAATACTGGACGATCTGATTAACCAACTATAGATACAGGCCGTTCCTTTTATCATGTGGTAACATTGCTATATTATAAACCGTAACAGATACGAAGACGATTAAAAGGGAAAATAGGTAAGTGTCATCGGGAACAATACAATGACCGAGGAAAATTTACGGGGTCTCCCACCCTTCTAGAGTTATAGGGGGAAAACCGAAAATGCTGTTTTTGTTTTTTTTTCGAATAGAATTGTTATTTCGGAGATTATAAAAAAATTGAAATATTTGATATAACGTTTCGTGTCAACATGGCCACCAACAACTTTTTTTTTAAATACGGACCTGTCTTTTTCATTACAGATNGGGTTCAATATTGTTACACACAGTTTATTAAGTAACATTGAGGAAATTTAAATTCAGAGATGTCATATTAGGCGGAGCATTGTAAGTGATTTTTCAGTTTTGCTTTAAAATGGCTATTGGAGCTTCTTTGATAAAGTCTGGTAGAGAGTTGAATAATCTGATACCAATACATTTTTTATTCGTGGAGGTTAATCTGTTATTTGGAATAGCGATATGGGATCTCATTCTGGTCAGATAATTGTGTGTATCTCCATGTAGTATGTACAAATGCATGTGCGTTTTAATGTAGATTCGTTTGTTGTGAATAATTGCTGAAGGAAGTATCAGTATTTCAAACTTAATGAACCATGGTTTACAGCTTTCAGTCTGAATTATACCGGCCAGAGCTCTAATGGCTCTTTTCTGGATAATAAATATCGACTGAGTGTAGCAAAATTACCACATGATAAAAGAAACGGCCTGTATATATGAATATAATTGGAATTTTTTCCCAACACCAAACCGTTATTCCAACACCTCGATACGTGTTTCGATCACTAAGTGAGCATCTTCAAGAGGAAGATCAAACATCGAGGTGTTAAAATAACGGATTGGTGTTGGAAAAAACTCCAGTAATATGTATAACTATACCAAAGGTTCCAAACAGTGCATCACAAGAACTATATATTAATTAAAATACAAGTACTGTTCCCAAACACCAGAATTGCAACACTCTTCTCGACGGCGTTTCATCAAAATAGGTGGCGTCACCAGGACTAATGTACTGCGGTGTACTTCATGTTTTGCTGTAAACAGTAGGATCGAAAAAGCGAATATAAAATGGGAGGTAGAGGATACTGTGTAGGCAGGCGAAAGAGTATGAAATTTCGCAAAGCATGAAAACTATTGATTTGTGGCCTCAACAAAATGAGTGTCTTAATAATCTACTGACAGACAAGCTACATTCCAGGCATTGTTGAACTCAAAAGTGATAGAGTGGTCAAGAAATGCCATGATGAAATGATAAAACTAGCGAATCAACTGAAAGTTCATACATGAGGGAGTGAGTGAGTAGGCCACAAAATTCAAATGTTTTCATTTTTCTCACCTGTCACGTTGGGTAAAAATGATAATCCATCCATTTCGCCTAGGTATGAAAACTGGTATAGAAAAACTGGGGAAAACTTTGAAGCCAGTTCAGCATGACGAATTCCCGAGATGATAAATATATCACCACTCAAATACTAGAATGAAAGGAGAAACATTATTCTTAATTCAGAAATTTTTCATGAAAAAATTAAATTCTTGTAACGTTCAAACAGTTTCATTCATAAGTTTACATGAGCACACATATAAACCATATATTTCACCACTGTTTTGGAATTCAGATATTTGGAGATATTCTACAGAGCTACCCTACGAACAAAGTGGTTTGTTCAAAGTCAAAAAATTATACACTTATCAATTTTATTATGGATTTGTTGTAACCCCACTAACATCATTACACATAAATATAATACGCAAATGACCTCCAACCAAGCAATTACAATACCACGCTGTAGATTGAGTCATAACCATAAATTTATATCTCATTTTGGCCCGAAATTATACAATAAGCTGCCACTCCATATGAAGAATTCAATAACTACTGTAAAATAAGGAAGGAACTGAAAGTTTTCATCAGAAATCATTATGATCAATTGCAGGATATCTTTGAAAATGTTCCTGCTACTGTAACAGCCACGACACAAGCCTAGCTTAGGTGGCTACAGATTGTCTAATACATGGTTCTACGATAGGATTATTAATGAGAATTTGAATTGTAAATCGCAGGGAAATCAAATCATGTAACTGAATGATTGAATGACATGAAATAAATAAAATTACTTACTTACTATTAATAATCAAGATGTTATACTTAATATTGCTGAAGAAATATCTTCTGAAAGTTTGAATGATTTCAACAGATTGTCTAATACATGGTTCTACGATAGGATTATTAATGAGAATTTGAATTGTAAATCGCAGGGAAATCAAATTATGTAACTGAATGATTGAATGACATGAAATAAATAAAATTACTCACTTACTATTAATAATCAAGATGTTATACTTAATATTGCTGAAGAAATATCTTCTGAAAGTTTGAATGATTTCAATGGTCGGCAATGAATTGCTTCGAAATAAGTTTACTACAGTCAAAGGTATTCGTTAATGTTCGAAGGTTATTTGGACAGAATATGTTTTGCATTTTGTATTCACACTAAAACATTCTTATATTCACATATATTCTCCGAAAGAGGTTAAAGTCTCTACTCTCTTTCAGTAACAGAAGCTTCATCCATTGAAACATCAAGACATTTTTCTAATGAATGAATAATGAAAAAAGTCATATGTAGCTACTATATTAAAAAACACTACCAAAGAATGTGATGCTTTTGGCAGTGAAAAAGGTGATAATTCCCATTATCAAAACAAAGGGATCGGCATTACACTTGAACCACGAATATTAAGAATAAACTAGGATATCACAGATGGTCTATTGTAAAGGCAAACTCCGATCTCGATCTCCGAAAGAGATTAACTGTCTATCTTTCTCTACAGCTAAATGTTATGATTCAAGGTTTGTTCTGGTTCTCAATTAGTACTGTTTCGAATCGTCCAAAATCAGTGAGTCAGTTGTGGACTGAAAAAGTTTACGCGACAAAATGTTCAGTTTTCAGTTGGGTAACTGTTTTCTGACTGTTGGTAACAGTCCGGGCGGAGAACCAGAACAAGCCTTCAATCTTGTCTAACATAAACAAGAGAAACCTTTAGTTGAGTCACCATCATTCTCTCACTAACTTTTAAGGGAAAATGTCATCGCATTTTGAATGATATCCAATTTTTTGGATTCTGGTATCATCTGTATGATGTTTTTATTGAAAAATATTGATTTTTATTTATCTCAGGTGAGTTCATTTGAAACTTCTACAAATCGCTTCCTATACTTTATAACATATAATCATCTACATCTGTTGATTTTATGAAGGTTTGAGTGGCAGCTAAGGCAGTTGAGGTTTCATAGGCATTTTCCTTCATGAATGAAAAGAACCAATATACATTTCTTCTTATTTAGCCTAAGACAAAACAATTATAATATTTTTGGGTCTAATAAAGTGATAATTTAGAAAATGCTTTCGAAAAGTTGGTCAATGAAGTAGAGTCAGGTCTATATTTGTACTGATTTCACGAATTTGCACAAATCTTCTCGATAATTCGTTAGAAAGTTATGACTTTTATTGAATAAACAAGACGCAGCTATTCGACATCAACACGCTTCACTGTGAAAATGAAAATTGTTAAAATGACCACTGTGAATGACCAGAAATCTATTATTTATGAATCCACAACTTGTAATTTCAAAGTATTCATCACCTTCACGAAAGCACCAGGATTACTCTCAAATGTTCCATTCGTATAAATAGATCTATATTTCGAGGCAGCCGTCTTCAAATCACTTTTAGACACATGTAGATTTGGATGCATAATATAGCTTGCATTTCTATCAAAGCTCTCTCCTTTAGTTTGGATTTGTTCGATGTTAACTGAAAATAAATATCTTGTTACCTCACCAATAAGGCTCTTCCAAATATTCAAAAAAAGTATTGATAACATAACATGATAAAATCGATCGATCTCTAGGTTTTTGATCTTGGTTCCTTTTTTCCACAATCAGTACTTCTTTTTTTTGCTGAGGAAAACGGACTTGCACAATGTTACTTTATATAAATATATGCTAATTAAATGTATTCAACTGCAGATATGTTTGTGAAACGGAACGGCAGGTTTAGCACACCCATGGTGGTTCAGAAAACCACATTATTATCTATGTCATTCGAAAGCCAATCATATTCAAAATAGTGAAAGCAAGAAGATGACATGAAATTATTTTTGCCAACAACACACCCGATGTATTAATTTGAAAATACAAATTAGATGAATAATGATAGAATAAAATATTTTTGGGGTCATTTCGAAGATTAATTAGTAATTTTGATCGAGAGTGAAAATTATCCCCTTTATACGATCTATTTGGTTTGATATAGTGGCCATTTTCAAACCGCTTTCGGAGAGTTGTTACCATCAGTGTAGGACAGATCGACTAACTGTAGTAGTGATCAATACTCGCGATCAATTTTCCTAATTTCATACTGCTTTAAGCAAGCTAAAACTGGGACCGATCACCTCCATTTTTGTACTGATTTCAGATGTTAACTTTTTTCAGTAATTCGTTATAAAGTTTTTACTATTAATCGTCAATTGTTTATGTAGGATTATCACATACTTGATATATTATTTCGAAAATCCAGAATGGATGAATAATCAAGGGTGAAAGTTGTCCCATTTTGAGGTATATTGTCATTAATTACCATCTATTACCTTTAAGTACGTTCATATGACATCACAATCGAATACTTACGATTTCTAATGAAAAATCTGTATTCTTCAGTACAAAAACCAGTCAATAATGGTGCCTGGGTGAAGTCTCCGCTCATTAGTGCTTCGTGCATGGGTGATGTTACAACAGCATTGGGGTTATCTGCATTTTCAATTGCGGGTACCCAAATGATATTTCTAGCATCTAACATAGAAATCTACAGGGTGGTCGAGTGTACCAATTTAATCGAAATTAAACGACCTCATGCATTTATTTTTATGATATTCAGTATGTTATGAAAATATCCCTAGACTTTTCCGATGTGTGAATATGCTAATTAAATGTATTCAACTGCAGATATGTTTGTGAAACGGAACGGCAGATTAAATTTGCCGTCAGCTAAGCGCGGTTAGGTTAACATTCATGAGCGTAGCATTCGTTGAGTATTTTTTCTTTCTCAGGATGTATGAACCTCTGGTGAAGCTAGCCACTCGCGCCATCGAAACGTCAGGAAGAAATTCCAAAAAATCGACGGCCTTCAAACCCAAAAAAAGGGACACTGAAATTCAATATTGTGAAAATCTGTAATTATCATCATGAAACTTGTTATCAGAACAACAAAAAGTATCAAGAGTTGATGATATTATCTAATGTAAGTTCGAAAGACGTCATAAAAAAGTGATTTTCGTTTTACAATATTGCAAAAACTATATTGAGAATATATTATGAATATATTGGCTGAAATTGGACCAAACAGTGAGAAAATCGATGTCAAATTTTGCAGTTATGCGGTAATTGGCTTCAAAGTCACCTCATTTCTAGTGCAATAATTATATGTGCTTCAGGTTCAGCACACCCATGGTGGTTCAGCAAACCACATTATTATCTATGTCATTCGAAAGCCAATCATATTCAAAATAGTGAAAGCAAGAAGATGACATGAAATTATTTTTGCCAACAACACACCCGATGTATTAATTTGAAAATACAAATTAGATGAATAATGATAGAATAAAATATTTTTGGGGTCATTTCGAAGATTCATTAGTAATTTTGATCGAGGGTGAAAATTATCCCCTTTATACGATCTATTTGGTTTGATATAGTGGCCATTTTCAAACCGCTTTCGGAGAGTTGTTACCATCAGTGTAGGACAGATCGACTAACTGTAGTAGTGATCAATACTCGCGATCAATTTTCCTAAATTCATACTGCTTTAAGCAAGCTAAAACTGGGACCGATCACCTCCATTTTTGTACTGATTTCAGATGTTAACTTTTTTCAGTAATTCGTTATAAAGTTTTTACTATTAATCGTCAATTGTTTATGTAGGATTATCACATACTTGATATATTATTTCGAAAATCCAGAATGGATGAATAATCAAGGGTGAAAGTTGTCCCATTTTGAGGTATATTGTCATTAATTACCATCTATTACCTTTAAGTACGTTCATATGACATCACAATCGAATACTTACGATTTCTAATGAAAAATCTGTATTCTTCAGTACAAAAACCAGTCAATAATGGTGCCTGGGTGAAGTCTCCGCTCATTAGTGCTTCGTGCATGGGTGATGTTACAACAGCATTGGGGTTATCTGCATTTTCAATTGCGGGTACCCAAATGATATTTCTAGCATCTAGATCCATAGGATATCTCTCATTTCGAACCTATTCAAAAAACCACATTATTTCAAACGAAATTATTCGTGAAGTCAATTACTATCCAATCAGAAAACGAATGAACATGTCAATACTTTCATAAATGGCATGAAACTTGCTAGAATTTTCCGGAGTATAACTTCTTGGAGGAAACGTGAACGGTTTGTTAGCGTGAATGCGTTCTTCTCATTCAATCCTATAAGAACCGATGGTTCGAGTCCGATGGACTGACGATTGATTTTCAGTGCGGATCGTCTAACCCGTGCTAAAAATCGCATGTTGAAAAGTGATACTTTGTTAATCTCCAGTTCGCACAAGGGCTCCTTCTGAGGGTTGTCGTTCGTAAGAGAACGATAGTTGCTTAATCAAAAAAACAGATAATGAACAGTAAATTTTTTTCACAGCGCCGAATATCCAGTTCAAACTGGTATAATAATAATGAAAATAATACCAACAATAATCACTTACCCCATGATGTGGGGAGTGGTCGTTGGTTGATAATGCTAGCGGACCCTCCCGAATTTATCGGGGGTTCGGAGGATATGGTCTGATCAGCGCAACCTTCGATTAAAGAAATAATAAAAATAATACCGCCTTGTACCCGTGCGAAGAGCGTGGTACGTGGCGAGATTGCATGATCTGTGGTGCGAAACATATCCGGAACATGCCGCCTCCACCGTCCAAAACCTTAGGAATTACGTATATAATCTTCGGCGGCAAGGCTATATAGTTCCTTTCCAGCCTGATGACGAAGTGGTTCAAATGACAGTTCTATTACCTGTTGGCACGGCTAGAGAAGAGATTCGCATCATGCCACCAATGGAGATTATCAGAATACGCAGAATTAGGCCCCTGAAGCCACAAGAACTGGATTTTTCGGATGCAGAAATTCATAGTGTTCTAACAGAAGAGGCTGACATTTGGCAAATCAACACTGCCGTGTACAGCATCGCCCACTCGCTTTCCGAATCCCAGCAATGTGGTTCAGAAGATTGAACGGTGGGTACACAAGATGAAGGCTAAGACCACATTGGCGAGACGGCTCGCGTCTTGTATCTAATGTGTGCTGATATACAGGACGGTCTACAGGCTTTTCAAACCCGCAGTGCGGCGAATGGCTGCTAAATTACGAAGTATCCAACACACTTTGAGTCAGGGCATGCTGCTGACCATCAAACAGTACTGCCTTGGTAGGATACGAATGCTAGTGGCTGCTGAGGAATCACTAGTGGGACGAGTAAGAATTATCGCGAAAAACCTCAGGTTCTGCAAGAAACCTCCTCGCTTATTTCAAGAACCTTGGCGTGTTGTGGTTCCACCTGATAAGCCGACCACTGATCAGGAAGAATCCTTCTGGAAGGACATCTATAAACATCCGCAGCCACTCAACTTAGAGACTCCAGCCCTAGTGCAATTCGAAGCTTTCAGAACCCCAGATGACGTTCGAAAAGCCCTTGTATGCACCAAGAACTGTACTACTCCTGGCCAAGATGGGCTGAACGCTTATTGGTGGAAAGAACTAACAAGCACCCACCGTCATCTGGCCAGAGTTTTCTGCTCATAGCTGGACGGAGAGCTGCCGATTCCGGATTTGTTTGTCGAGGGAAAGATCGTTCCTATCCCCAAAAGCGGTGATTTGTCGATTGCTAAGAATTACAAACCGATAACATATCTAAGTTCGTTCTATAGGTTGTTTACGAGCATCTTCTCATATACTCACCACAGTTGACCGAGTGTTCGTACGGATATATGAGCAGAGAAAGTCGAAGAGGGGAGTCGCTGAATGTGAAGAGAACCTGCCCATCTCGATATACGTAAAACAGGACCTGATACAGTATAAGCGTAACCTCTCTATGGCCTGGATAGATTACTGCAAAGTATTTGATACAATATCGCATGAGCTCATCCTGCATTTGTTCAGATGCCTTGCGGTACCCGACAAAATAGCCTTGAACGATTGATACTACTCTGACGGAGTCGCTTCACGATAACATTCTGTCAGGCTAGAGTCCAAACAGGGTGGGTCACTTTCAGAAGCCCCCTTCTCTTCTGCATCCTACTATTGTCATTATTCGTTCCGCTGTGGCACTTGCGGTAACTGGAGGCACAAGGACACCCATTGGTTTTATATGGATGATTCACAAATTTATGCTTTTGGAGAAAATGGTCTCCATCAGTCCTTGGGGGTGGTGGGTGATGGAAGAGAACACGCATGCTATTGGTATGAAATTCGGGATAGACAAATGTGTAACGGTCCTTCCTGTAAGAGGACGGTGCGAAAACTACGGAGAGAATTTCAGCTCGTGAATGAAAGCATCCTGCACAATCGGGATGCCGGAGAGACGTATACTTACTTCGGAGTGAAATAACTCACAGGCGGTAACAGTAGTGAAAAATTGTCTTCTTGGTAAGTATCAGCAAAAACTTCGACAGATCTAGTCATCAAAACTGTCGGGAAGAAGTTGTTGCAACGAATATGCTTGATTACAATCTTACTCTACTCGTTTGGAGTAGTGAAGTGGACTCGGGGAGAGCTGTATCAATTCGACGTGAAGACCCAAAAAATTATTCACTTCCATAGGAGTTTGCATCCCCAATCTTTCGTTTCACGGTTGTACTTCCCCCAATAACAGGAACGCCGTGAACTTTTGAGTTTGGAGTATCTACATGACAGGATAGTATTGAATAGAACCTGTAAAGTCGTCAGGACCTTTATCTACCGCAGTCGCGAGATGGGTAAAGAGGTTCCTGTCACAAGGTGCAGGGCCTGCCACGAGGTGTCTGGCATCCTAATGCACTTGTTATTAGCACTATCACCCACCCCACAATGTGGGGTAGGTGACTACTTTTAGCTCTTTGACATTTTGTGATGTTCTTTGGACGAACAGCGAAGTGGAAAACCACGTTCATTATTGAGGTTTGAAGTTTATAATTGTATTTTTTATTATATAAAAATCCTAGTATACGAGAACAAGCCCACCTTAGTCCATTTAGAAATTATTCATACTCGCACCTCGTAAGTGTCTAAGTGGATGCCAACAAACTTCAGATGAATGTTCATTTCTGCTGAAACGAATCGCCTTGAAACATTTATAGATCTATGAATATATTTAGAGTTCGCAATGAAACAAGAAAGGTTATTTCATGACCTTAATTTAGATAGACTCATCCTCAAGAAGACTGGTTCCACCTATACGTGCCACCTTTTGAAGAACGATCACGATTTCAACACCATGTGCGATATACTCCATGTAGAAGCTAAGGGACAGAAGTTGAACCTGCTGAAAGATCTGGAAATGAATAACCGGAAACATTCAGGTTCCCTGCTGAACGACCAACAGAAGGTCGACCACTCACAATTTTAACAATTTTTTTATACTCCCAACGGTTTTGTAAATGAGAAATATTTTTTCGAAGCATTGAACAATTGATCCATATCAATATTGGTTAATTAACAAACTGCATGCAGATTCCAGTCTTTTTAAGATAATTGTATAATGAAAGATCTCTGTTGACATTGTGATCAGTAAATCATAATCGTTAAAATATTGGTGTTTCAAGTAACTTTGCCTTCTGGTTATGATGAAGAGGACCACGGAATAATACATTTTAGAGAAACACTTAGACCACTGGATGATCAAAGTAATCTTTATTGAATATATTTGACTAAAAATCCATCATGCTAATAAATTAGACAGAGACCAAGTCCAGTTTTCATCATGAATAACTTTTGAATGAGTAGTGGACTTCTCAAATTCTCAATTACCAGGTAATCATTGTTAAAGTTAAATTAATAGGGTCGTATCGACTCTAATAATACAAAAAACTGGGATACACACTTGTTATTATGTAATGAGATTATTTCTTTATAATATACTGTTTGCATTTTTTCAATTGCAGTTATGTATTTTTCTGGCATTCGCAATTGTACTCACATTAGCCATCAAGATATCTAAGGCGGAAGCTTGCCGTAGTACATTCAGCAAATCTTTTGAATTAGTCGAGTTGAAAGTTGGATCCAAAGCCTTTCCCATTAAGAAAGCAAGATATCTCGGGTCTTCTTGTATAGCCACCGGCGACAAAGGCGAACCGCTCTCCATAATGAATGCACTTGCTTTCCCTGCAATTTGAGAAATATAATTATCTTCATGGGTTATTTTTCAATCAATGGTTATAGTAACCTCCAATATGTCATGATTAGCTGAAAAATTATGGGTTTCCTCCAAAATTATTGACAGATGTGGAACCCAAGAGTGAAGAGATGAATCAAACAGAAAATTATAAGATGAAGTATTCAGTAGAAGTGAAGTGAGGATAAGACCAGTGCAGAATACTGTTAGAAATATAAGAAATACAGAAAATATTTTATTCACTACAGGAAAAATTAATGAAAGTCTATTCAAGGTACTCGGAATAAACGAGGTTAATTTTGGAAAACCACATTTTCGTATTTAATTTTTTTCCTTTACACATTTTTTTACAATATGAGAATATTCTAACTGAACAATGATGTTCATTGTCGTACCGACAGCTGACAGTCGTTTTTATGAACAAAAAATTACTCAAACTGAGAAACTCGGTGTAACTTTAGGCTCACTCTCGATAACGCAGACATTGACTGGATAGACAGTGCTAAAAATCTTGGCGTAACCATAAATAGCTCTCTTTCTTTCGATGAACATGTGAAAAACATTTTCAAAGTATCATTCTTCAAACTCAAATCGCTATATAAATTCAAGTATCAGTTATCAGAAGGAATGAAACTCAGGTTAGTTGAAATTCTTATTTTATTTACCTCCATATCGAGTATTGTTGTTGGGTGTATTACAATTGTTTGCCGCAATATAACAAACAGAAGTTACAACGTATACAAAATGCTTGCATGCGATTCGTATGCTGTATGTTAAAAATGGAGGAGCTGAATGTGAGGTACAGAGTCCAATATTTGATGAAAATGTTTTTGTTTAAGTTACTTCAAACTGAAACACCTAGTTATTTATATGTATAGTTTATTAAGCAGGCATTCCGACATACATATGGTCAATTTGAGAATTAACTCATTCAACATACCTAAGCACCGTACTTCCAAATTTCAAAGATGTTTTTCTTATGTAGCCCCTTCTTATCTGAATGAAATTTTACCCCTTTTAAATCATAATATTCATCAATTTAAAAAAGAAATGAAATCACAGATGCTTATTGCCCAGTGCTAATTTGAAAAATTTAAAATTCAATGTATGGTAGTGCAATGAAATTGTTAAATTGACCAAATTAATGTTGAGAATATTGAGAGTTATTAGCAACTATATGATGTATTATTTTTTTCTTTTCTCTATCATTGTTATGATAGTAAATAGGTATGTTTATGATAATTTTCTTATACTCACTGTATAGTTTTTGGTAGGGGCACCTTGTGTCAGGAACCTCTATACCTATCACGCGACTGCGATAGACTAAGGTGTTGAAGACACCATCCTGGCAAGCCATGATGAACCCCTCAGTTTCCGACTTCAGCCCACTCGACCTGTGAAAAGCGAACGTCAGGCGCTTTGATCAGCCAAGGTCTTCAATATTATTGAAGAAGACCCCATGCATTGGCTTATCCCTGTGTCTCCGCAGAAGTAAGTTGATCTCTGCGACTTTTATCTGAGCTTTTTGCTGAACGGGTTCCAACTCGGTGACAGAGTTGTAGTCACCTCGTTCAGAGTCGAAAACTATACCGAGTTCATCAGCTGCTCGAGCAGCTGCCCTAAGGAGAAATGCTCCAATTCCTGCTCTCTCATGGTCACGGACCATGCAGAGAAGGGGATCCGAACTCCTGACGACTTTACAGGCTGTATCCAGTACCATTCTGTCATGTAGACACTCCAAACTCA